GGGGGAGTCCTAAGAAAGACAAATATTGGGGAAGACGTCTCCCGCAAAAATTTCCTCCAACGGCAGAGCGTACCCTAGTATGGAATGCGAATCAAGAGGGCCAAGTTGTAGCAACAGCAAGAACTAGTTCGACATTCGTAGCTTGTCCTAGCCAACTCGCACTATCTCCTGGCTTGTCGCACTGTACCGCATCCTCTTACAGTCAATGAAGGTTCTGGCAGGAATGGCACGCACTTGACGCTGCTTCCAACGTCCTTTGTTGTGCCGCGGCATCTCAGATGTTCTGACCCACGGCAGCGAATACGCGAGTTACTACCAACGGCTTACTTGACCCATAGCCCGCATGGTTGGTTCAGATAATTTCGATCCAACGGCCTGTGTACAATGCGGCTTTCAACCACTGTGAAATACAGTCTTGTTCGCTGCGGATGATGGGGCGTGTCAGTGAAGCTGGGTTTGGCGCGCCGCCAGCCCATTCTCTACCAGTTGTTGAAGCGGATAAGTGACAAACAGCTTGTGCCAAACGACTGATACGAATAGTATGATGCAGCACTGGCGTGGGGTGAGCCCATTCACGATTGCAGCTTCTACCAATCGTTGTCGGCCTGAGCACTGCGCAGACTTTTACCACGCGTCCTGAAACGCTGCATCGCTTCTCGTTGCTATGCACTGTGTGAATTTCCGGGGTCAAACGAAGTTCAAACTCCTTATACAGTCATAATCCTTGCAAACGATAAGGCGTGCGACGCGGACGCGTTATGAAGCGCAGCCAGGGCGCCCCTTCTTCACCAACGATGGTAGCCGCTACAACTTGTGGGAAGTCTGGTCTGGTTACACTCCTTAGTCACGCCGCCGTCAGACGCCCCATCGTTTGTAGGGACCATGAGTCGACACTCAGTGGTAATCAATTAAGAGACCTATTCAGTCAAACCTGCTGATCTAACATTTTACTCGTTCAGCTGAAACGTAAATTCAACCAGTTCAGGTCATTCCCAGAAGAAGTCCGAGAACAGCTGCTGTCTCTAATTTCCACGGTTTTCCCGGACAATCAACGTCCACCGGAACAAATCCTCGACGTGATTACCGAGTGCGTCAGAAAAACTGATCTGGTAAGCAAATGGGCGCTGTTCGGCTTCGGTGGCAAGGGGACCTTTTTCTTGTTTGCTAGTTTCTTTTACGAGCTCTTGTTAACTCAATGACTCACCTTAGTGGTCCTGTAAGTTCCCGTCATGTGAACAAAACTAGTGCTATTGCCTACTTTACAAGACCTTACAAATCTCCTCAGGCAGCGTTCAGACTTCAGCATGAGCAATGCTCATGCTTTCAACTGCATCGATCGCGCAGAACGCGCGGCCGAAACGCTGCCGTCGCGAAGTCTGAACGCTGCCTTAGAAGGTTATCGCCAAGGGTCGGAAACCAAGAAAACGCCTCTATCAAGCCGAACCGCGCTAGAAACGATCTCTTGGTTGATTGATGAATTGCTACTCAAATGTGATTTCAGCTGACGATTTTCCGTTACGGTGAAGGGCGATCAGAGGATGTCGATCATGCCATACTGACAGCGGTGTTGAAGCGGCAGAATCTCAGCCCGCCTGAACAGGTCACAACTCCTTAGAGTTCATTCAGAGCTGAAAAAAACGTAGCTGTCCATTCTGCTTCTGTTTCCTTTACTGATCAACGCAGGCCACTGAGAAACTTTTCGTTTTCACTAATTAGCTTCAACTTTGTATTGTTTGCTTGCCTTCTTATCTAGGGTAAGGGCAATAGGTATCATATGCCGGTCCAGCTTTTCAGAACCCTGAGCCCTTTGAAGGAAGCCCTCTCCCAACAACGACCAAATACGACCACCCCTCCCTCGCGATCACCATGCGACCCCCTCCCGTTGTGATCGGCGTGCCCTGTGCGGCCATTGGTGGGCGTGTCGGTCTTAGTGGTAGTACGGGTGGTACGTCAAGCCTTGCTGGGATGCCTAGGGAGCACTTTTTGTTGGGAAAGACGACACGTAAGGCTTGCTCAAGAGCGTGGTACTCTTAGGTAGTAGGCGTACTCATCTTACGTGCCTAGGGGATCTATCGTGCCCTTTGCCTTTAACGCACGCATAGCATGGCAGCTGAAAAAGGGAAGCTCATTATATCAGGTCGTCTCATACTTTTGCACTCACGTAGGAGGCGAAATCCGGGTACCTGGCTGCGCCCTCATG